CATAAGCGATCATGACCTTTCTTTTAACATTAGGATGGTACCTCTCCTTGTACAACAGTGTTTCTAGTGATAATAATGTAGTCACGGGGTGCACTCTTTTGCAATAAAAATTACCTTAATATATTTTTATTACCTCCATCACCAAATCATTTTTAAATACCAACAATAAATAAAAATAAAAATCGACATTCTTCACATATAGTTAATTGATGTGGGCCCCCATCATCATTCACTCGCGTGCATTATTCATCTACACATCATGGTGGCCCCTCATGCACCGTCTCCGTCCGATCAAGAATCGACGGGCCTTGATCACATTGTACGTACGTATACGTATATATATTAGGAATCAATGATCGGGGAGAAGAGCGCGCATACAAAATTCAAGTGTGGAATACAAATCCGGCAAAAAACACACTGCCACTTTTTATTATCACTATGTGTTTATTCGATTCTTGCTTTCTTTCTTCTATTAGTAGACACTTTATTTCTCGAAGATAATGCAGTAGCGATTAATTTTTTAAGAAATTTTTTTATTATTTTAGGTCTTCTTGTAGGTGTTAGCTGTATAAAATTCTTTATAAAAGAATACGAATTAGCACATCTATATCTAATAGCAACCATCACATAAGAATATAAAATTTTTAAAATATCAAAATATCGACACAAATAAGTTATTTTCTCCGAATCTACTATAATTGTTTCAAAAGATGTCTACGTTTAAAATTCGGTATGAATACAAGGAAAGACACTATAATATTGATTATTATCTTTTAAATTAATTTTAAATTATTAGTTATTTTATGATGGATGTAAAACTATTCAACAATCTTCATCCTAATCATTTCGATTATAAAGATAATGAGTAAGTCATGAATATTTTTGAATAATAAATTTATACTTTCTGATATATTTATAGTGAGCATTATTGTGCAACGATGATTAAAGAAAAATAGAGGAGCTCATTTCTCCTTCTTAATTTCAGGTATCCAAACAAAACTTTATATATGATTTTTTTCCTTAACTTTTATAAGGAAAATATTGTTTTGGACATCACTCATAAAATTTTTAGATAAATGAACCATGCATAACTATGGTATACTTTTGGAAAAATCTCTTTTACAACTAAAAGAATTCTTAGATTTTGATCAATGATAATAGTCAAAATCTTACATTCCACAATACATATTCTCAATTAATGCAAAATCCACTCCCATGAATCCCCATACTCAATCTTCATCAAAGTAAATATAATTAAAAATAATTTATTATAATTATCAATGGCTATAGCCATCATCATCAAAGAACCAAGATATTTGTCTAATAGATATATAGCATTGATACTAAAAACATATGGCATGTATAATTTGAAACTTCTAATACAAGCTTCGAAAGCCCAAAAAATATTTTTTATGAAATTATCATTTGGACATGAGTCTCATAGTCATATGGTTTTAACTCTCTTAAAAATAAAATTATCAAAATATATAAGTGGTCAAATAACTCTCTTAAAAATAAAATTATATATGAGTGATCAAAGTTACCATGAACCTCATTAAGAGCAATTGTTCAATATTATTATTCATGTCCTCAACTTGCTCGCCAACTACATCTAATGTATCGTAAATATCAAAATTTCTATCACCTTTAACCTTTTCTTACATTCATTCTCTAATCATTTTATTTTTAAAAATATCACAACTATCTTCATTTTCATCATAATAAAATGAGTCATTCTAAGTGTATGGAAAGAGCCACAAAGCCTAAGTTATTTGGGAAATGACTCACCCAAACTTCATGTCTCACATAATATTTATCTATCAATGTTATCAAAAATTGAAAACACTTCATTGAGAATAGGATCCTCTCTAAAATGAGATTACTAGAAGGAAAATAATATTTTTATAATCCATGAAATAATACAATACCAAAATGAGTAATAACATATTGGTTTTTCTTTTATTCTTAGCAAAATATCATGCACTCATATATATTTTTTAACATTTGATATTCTATTGAGGTCCCAAATAGTTGATAAAATTGGATCATCAAAAATTATTTCCTAATATATGATGCATTATTTTTAGCCAAACTAAAAAATAATACATCTATAGCGAGACTTCAAAAAAAATATTCTGAAATTTAGATGATACCTTCATATTGGATCCAGATAGACATATGTCAGTGTTTTTCCATTTTAGAGGATTATTTATATTTGTCAAAAAAAATTTAGCTCATATAATGTGTCATTTTTATTTTCTAATAAATTAATTTTTTTTATAAAAATATCATGCCCACATGCAAGTTTTTTGAATTTGAACTTCTAACTATATTACAAATACATCGAAAAAATTTGGTCATCAAAATTTTTTTACTGATATGCAATGTATTATTTTGGGCAAAAATCCAAAAATAATCACATAGTAGAACTTATCAAAATTCCCTAAAAGTTTTAGGATATCTTTTAATGGGATCTAGATGGATATTTGTTATTATTATTTTATTTTATATTTTTTAAAAAATTTTAGTTCTTGCATAGTGTGTTATTTTTTCTATTTTTCTATATATATATTTTTTATATTTTAATAAAAATATCATGCACCCATATAATGATTTATATTTGAGCTTCTAATAAGGTCATAATCACCTGATATAAATTTGAGCTTCAGAAAATATTTTCTTGTATACAACTCACTATTTTCTTGTATACACATTATTTTTTAATATTTTTAGAATTATTCAAGTCTTATAATGTGGCATTTTCTAATTTTTCAAATTTTTTCTAGAATTTCCTCAAACATATCATGCACTCATGCATTCTGTTTTTCTCATTTAACCTTCTAATTAGGTCCCAAACATTTGGTAAAAATTTTACCATCAACAAAAGTTTTCTAATATATTATGTACTATTTTTAGTCAAAATCCAAAATTAATAGGACATCTTAACATATCTTGAAAGTTTTTGGATACCGAATCCATATAGACATATGATGATTTTTTTTTTCCTCAAATTATTTAGGTGCTATATAATGTGTCATTTTTTATTTTTTTATTTTTTTTTTCAAAAATATCATGCCCTTATATAATGATTGTTGACATTTGAACTTTTAGTTAAATTCGAAACACTTGATAAAAACTTAATTATTAAATTTTTTTCCATGCATTATTTTTGATAAAAATCAATGAACAATAATAAAGATATATGTTTTTTATAGACTCACTGATTTTTACTTATATATTAAACTAAGCATGAAAATCCTTTATACATATGTTGGTGAACAAATGTTCCGTGGCTGATGAGTCAGCATGGCTAGGCCCACCTGCCGACGTCGGGAACTTTTTGCGGAACTCGTGGGTTTATGAGGTGGCTGCACCCTTCAAGCATCTCGGGCGTTGGTTGAGGTGGTAAGATCGGCCTGGGCCTCGCTGGGAGCCAGTACTCCAAAGCCAGTCGACTCGGGCTTTGTTTATGACAAGATGCGTCCTCTCATCCCTCCGGATAGTTGACGATCTTCCTCGTAATGTGGGAGCCTTCTGGAGATGGGAGATACGGGCTGACACTAGTAAGGTCACGACCCGTTGGGCCACCCTCCTCTGCGTACCGGGCACCGACTTCACGATGAAGATACTCGCGGCTTGATGGCAATCGCCTTCCTGTAAAATGGCCCTCGTCGGGTAAGTCTCGACTTTGGCCCCTACGACGAGCAAGTTAGATTCATTCTAAATCTCCTCCCTTTTTTTTCCTTTTTTTCTCTTCTCCCTTTTGGACTAGGTCGGGGGTATTTATACTTGTGTGCAGAAATTGGTTGGGCCCTAGTTCGGTATGACCGTTGACTCTTGCGGGGGTGGAATAACCTCTCTGACGAAATGACGTCTTCGGAGGCGCTTGAGCGGTGTTAGACAGCACTATCCTAAGCTCTTGGGGTAGTCAGGCCATACAGTTGCATCGTTGAAGCTTAACGTGACATGCATATGCGGTTTTGGTGGTGTACGATATCACGTTGGTCTACAATGTCTGTTAATGATGGCCAAAATACGCACAAAAAATTAACAGTAAACATAAAACAAGGGAAGATGCTTTAAATATTACACTATTCAAACATCAAACATGTAATATACGCATTTTATCTTGTCTAAATAATTATTAAAAGATGATTTAAATACCATACTATTCATGAATATAAAACATATACATATTTTATCTTATCTAAATAACTATTAAATGATCGAACAATGAAAAAGACAACAGTATAATTTCATGAAGTTTTTTATGTTCCTGATTCAAGAAAAAAAATAAAAAAAATAAAAGAGAAGATAAAAGAATAGCAATAATGGAAGAAACGAGAAGACAAAAACAAGGAGACAAAAAGTAATAAAAGAAAAGCTTTTTGCTGCAATTATTAAATCAGAATGAATCATTTCAAAAAAATTTAGGTTTAGCTGTCCAAGATTAAATAGGTAAAATAACTCATAAGGGTACTGTTTAGATTATTATTTTTGAAAGTAGAAATGCTCTATAAATAAATCAAAGTTATGATTATTTTTTTAGAAATTCACCCAAAATTTACAAACTATATCTAACATTTCTTATTAAGATTTCTAAAACTTTCTTCAGTGCTGTCCACGTTATATCCATGCGTCCGGATCGATAGATACTCACACCTGTCACAGTACCACGTGTCCACTCGTGTGTATTTTGGATGCCATGTCAGCGTCGTGTCCAATAACTTAATCCACATAATTTAGCTTTACGGTTGTGACTCATAATTATTATCCTTGTTCATTTAATTGGTGTATTTTAATGTGCATTTTCCGGATTAGTAGCAACATCAGCAGCGCTACATCTACGACCATCACCTGCGCACGAACTTTGAGGACGCAGACGTCTTCCGTGGAATTTATTCGTGTATGGAGTGAAGGAAGGATTTTAATGGATGGGTGCCCCCACACGGTAGCTGTCTCCAGCTCTCTTCCATTGCCAGCCCATTCCCTTTCTCCTCCTCATCCTCCTTTCTCACTCTCACCCTCACTCGCTCTCCACTGTTTTCTACCTTCCCGTCTGTCTCTCTCCCTCTATATATACACGCCCTCCTGACTTCTCTCTGCCACCGCCATCCTGAGCTCCATAAACCCTCCAACATGATCTGCAACCTCTCCTTCCTCCTCCTCCTCCTCCTCCTCCCCACTCTTCTTCTTGCTGCGTCACCTTTTCCTCATGGCGGCAAGGGCAAAGCTGATCTGCAGGTGGCAAGGATGAGTAGCAAGCCGGGAGAGGACTCCGGCGGGCTGCTCTCGTCGTCCAAGCGCTACGAAGGGTCGTCGGACCTCGTCCACCTGCGCTACCACATGGGCCCCGTCCTCTCCTCCCCCATCAACCTCTACCTCATTTGGTACGGCCCCTGGCCGGCCGCCCTGCAAGCCCCCCTTCGCGACTTCCTGCTCTCCCTCTCCGACCCCGCCCCGCCGCCGCCCTCCGCCGCGCAGTGGTGGTCGACCGTCGCCCTCTACTCCGACCAGACCGGGGCCAACGTCTCCCGTCGCGTCGCCGTCGCGGCCGAGGCGCACCTCCCGGGTCTTCCCCGCGGCGCCTCCCTCTCCCGCCTTGACGTGCAGCTCGTCATCGCCGACGCCCTCGCCGCCGGTTCCCTCCCCGTCGACCACGGTCGCGGCGCTTACCTCGTTCTCACCGCCCCCGGGGTCACCGTCCAGGATTTCTGCCGCGCCGCCTGTGGCTTCCACTACTTCACCTTCCCCTCCCTGGTCGGTCACACGCTTCCCTACGCCTGGGTCGGCCACAGCGGCGTGCAGTGCCCCGACTTGTGCGCCTACCCCTTCGCCGTCCCCACCTACATGACCGGCGTCGGGGCCATGCGCCCCCCCAACGGCGACGTTGGCGTCGACGGCATGGTCAGCGTGCTCGCGCATGAGCTAGCGGAGCTCGCCACCAACCCCCTGATCAACGCTTGGTACGCCGGGGAGGACCCGACGGCCCCGACCGAGATCGCCGACCTCTGCGAGGGGGTCTATGGCAGCGGAGGCGGCGGGGGATACACCGGGCAGGTGAGCAAGGACGAGCTGGGAAGAAGCTTCAACCTCAATGGGAGAAACGGGAGGAGGTTCTTGGTGCAGTGGGTGTGGAGTCCCGTCGTCAAGGCTTGCAGAGGACCCAATGCCCTGGATTAGTAGTAGAACATGTTTCACCACTAGATCTCCATCACCTTTAGATCTGGAACCGGACGGCGGAATTGGATTCCCTCCCACTCTACATACATATTTTTTGGATTCCCCGAGGACTCTCTATCTCAGTTGCATGTCCATATAAGTAAGCTCTATAAATAAAACCATACGCTACTGTGAGTTTGCATCGCAAGAGATTCCTCGTGGCACTGCTTGCAGATGCTGTCCTGCACTCCATCCATCAGTCGATGACCAGCGAGTGGATCAACAGGCTGTTCCTGCGTTCATATGCTGCCAACTACCAAGCTGCAATGGTGGGGAAATGTGGCTGCCTCCTCTGTTGCTCACTCGAGACGGAGTCCACATTGAGCTGGCTGGATACACTTTTTGCTCGTTGTCTACTTTCTGCTGGAGCTGGAAAGCATAAAGAAGCCTCCAATTATATAAATGATGTATAGAATCGATGCATCTCTTATATATAACTCACAGTTTTGTTCTTGAATTGAAGCAGGGATTCATGCTCGAGTAAGCTGATCCCTCTGACACCGGAAGACAACCTTCTAGTTGGTCACCTTGACAGCCTGGATGCCTCAATGTTTTCTACCCTAACATGTGAAGGTTGACTAAGGAAACATATAATTTAGGTTTTCTTGTGGGAGCTTGTGATGCATTGGATCCTTTGGCTTCATCCATGGTCTCAAGTCTTGGATCATAACTTCTTTAACTTGACACTGTGGTAGAAACCTATGACAACCATATTATGATTTGATATCTTGTATTACAATAACAAATGTAAATGGGCCCTGTCAGCATTGGTTTATTGTTGATTTTTTGTCTTATTTTCTAAGAACTTAAGATAAGGTAATAAATAATACAACATAGTTAAAATGTTCCACACATAGGAAGATGATGGAAGGAGGAGACTTGAGTTTCAATGTTCCACATAATTTATGGGACAACAAAGTCAGGTTCATGAAGTGAACAACAAAGACTCCCAGTTGCTTCAACTGAATCAGCTGCAGATAAATATGTGAAGAAGATGATGCTTGTATGAGGTAATCTTTAGCAGTCTCAAGCTGAGGGTTTTACACCTGTTGGTGTAAACAACATTAAGCCGTGGCCTCGGGGCCGACGCGACTAATTCGGGTCCGAATGAGCGAGAGTCTTGCTCGGCGTCCTTCTGGGTTACCGAGGCAGTCGGTCGTGCTGATCGGGTCCGGGGGATGGAGATTCCTTGCCGGGGTGTTCAGGGGGAAGCAGCTCCATCTTCGTACCTGCCTACAGGTCGGGTCGATGGCTCGGCCCGACCCCTCCGACGATCAAGTTAGATGATGTGAAGAGGTCTTTTTTGTGTGTCTTTTCTCCCCCATTTATCGTTCGTGAGTGTATTTATAGGAAAGCTTACTGTTTCCTGATGTGCCCGCTTATAGGGGGCAGGCTGGTAGCGTCTGATGCAGGTGTTGGCGTGGCATGAACGATCAAGCCCGAGCAGGATGTTTAATGTGCCTCGGTCGACGTTCTAATCCGTTTGACCAGATGATGTCGGGTCGATCGAGGTGTGAGACGTCAGCCCGAGTCTTGTCGCCGTTATTATCCTCATCAACACCTTTGTTCAGTTTAAGCCTGACCGACTAATATCACAAAACAAAGCTGGCAAGGGTGTGATCATCTTGCAGGAGCAAGCTAAAATTTCCTGCAGCAAGACAAAACAGGACTTCACCCTGTTTTTTGCTCCAGCTTGTGTAATAGCCATGTGTTCGTGCAAATATTCTGCGTCTAGCACTTGTCTAGATCATGATCATAAACATCTGATGGTTCTTGGATGTCGTGTATAACTTTTCATGTTAAATAGCTAGATCTAGGTTGATTTGTTAATGGAACAGGATTGAATGATGGTGACGATGGTGTGCTAATTAGTAAAGATTCTCGAAATAGTTCATGTGCATCGATCAACTACATAAAAAGAATCCATTAGTTTAATTTGTGGAACTATCTGTTCGTCTAAGCAGTGCATCGAAGAACAAGAAAAAGGATGTGGAAAGATAAAATGGAAAAAGCGGATTGATGGACGATGGAAACAAGAAGGCAAGTATGCATGCGGAGCTTAAATTGCACTCCATCCGTCGCTGAAGCCTCCCGGCCGTGACTTGTGGTTTACGTTGTCGAAGTACCGCGGCACCTGCAATTTGGGGCTCTCCGACGCCGCCATCACTTCCATGAAGCCCCCAACGTCGTCGCCTAGGTGCTGCTGGATCACCAGCACCGACACCTGCGCCCCGAAGTCGGCAGACACGAGCATGTCCCCGATCGCCCCGAGCTCCGGGTACTCGCTCCACTCCGTCAGCCCCGCTAGCAGCGGCGAAGACTCCCTCCCTTGACCTCTCCCCACCACGTACATGCTGTGGATGCTGTTCATCGCGCGTATTGCTGCCACCGCCTCCGAGGCGTTGTTGACGACCTTCTCGGTGTACATGACCGACTCGTCGCTCACGTACCTGAGGCGGAACTCGTTCACGCACTCGTCGTCCAGCTGCCGCTGCATGCTGTCGTCCTCCACCACCGTCATGGCGGCGTGCTCGCCAGACGCACACGAGAGAGAGGGGCTGGGCGGCACCGGGGCCTCCTCGCCGGGAAGGAAGCGGACTACGGTGAGGTTGACGCTCGGGTGCTCCGCCATTCGCCACGAGTAGGCGAGCGCCTCGCGGTCATCGGGCCCGCCGAAGAAGAGGACCGCAACGTGGTGCTCCACGAACTGGCTGACGGAGAACCGCCCGCCACCGCTGAGCCCGCGGTCGACGAGGATGCCCACCGAGCAGGGCGCGTTGGCCAGGACGCTCCGGTTGACGCTGCGAATAGACGGGTTGATGTCCTCGAAATCGCCGGCCACCGACAGCTGCTTGTGGAAGGGGAGGATGATGAGGGTGGAGTGACGCTCCTCGGCGATGTTGAAGACGTCCTCGTGCATGGTGGAGTAAGGGGAGATGGCGGTGACCGGCTGGACGGAGACGCCGCCGGCGTGCTGCTCGTAGCTCTCGAAGGTCGCGATGATTTGCTCTGACTGCATGGCACCGCCGGATGGGTTGCTAACGACCTGCCTCTGGCCTTTGCTTTTGCCGATCTCGTGGACGATGAGCATGGCCGAGGCGCGGCCTGTGGGCTCCAAGAGGTGGAGGGCGTAGACGAAGATGGGGGAGCGCTTGGTGGGGTTGGACATCTGCAGAAGGCTGATGACGGAGGGGACGTTGCGGGCGTTGTAGACGCACGCCACCATCCGCAGCTCCATGTCCGGCCGGCACCGCTGCAGGTTCCGCCTCTTGTGGGCGACGCGGATCCGCGACGTCTTGTTCAGGATCGCCACAGATGGGGTTACGGCCGCCATCGTGAAGATCGACCCAAGAATCAACACGGTGTACATTCGCACGTCGAAGATCTGCATGCATCACCAACCAGCCCATTCGATGGATGAGCGAAGAGCAAATAATCGCTAACAAACGCCGCCATCAGTACCTGTTTATGTTTGCCGATGTTGAGGATGATCATATCGATGGGGCCCTTGGTGTTCATGAGGAGTCCAAGGGACAAGCTCTCGGGAGCAGTCATGGAATTGTACTGAGCGATGGCCATGCTGCTGCCCAGCTTCACGAGGAAGGAGAGCACTATAATCATCGACAGCGTGGAGATGACCGCCGCTCCCTTCTTGTCTTCGGTATTGAGGAGGGACAGGTCGGCCTTGAAGCCGCAGGTGGCCAAGAAGATAGGCATCAGCAGGCCGATCACGAACTCCTCCAGCCTGTTCCTTAACCCGATGGTGAGCGGTCCGCGTGGTACCACCAGCCCATAGACGAAGGCGCCGTAGACGGCGTGGAATCCGATCATGTCTGTAATAATCCCGACCGCCAGCACACCGGTGGCTATGACGCTGATATAGACGTCGTCGACGGGCTCGCCCTCCGGCGTCCGCCTCAGAATCCAGCACATGGTCGGCCGGATCACCAGCCAGCAGGCGGCCGTGAAGGCGATGCCCGAAACCGAGATCCACAGGAACGCGAATTTCGTAGGTGCAATGTCTCGGTTGGATCCGGCGGAGGCGGGGAGAACGACGGTGGCGGCTAGTAAGACCCAGGTCATCAGGTCGGAGAGGATGGCAGAGGGCATGACGAGCTGGCCGAGTTCGCTGTTCAGGATCTTGAGCTCTGCTAGGACACGGACGAGAACCGTGAACGACGTGACGGTCGTCGCACTTCCGATGAAAACGACCTGACTCAAGTAGTTCACGTGCCCCGGGGGCTGCAGGTTCATCACGTTGGCTGCCAAGAGGGTAACGATGAAGGGAAGCGCCATGTTGGCCGCCGCAATTGCTATCACCTTCTCCCTCCAACTCTCAAATATTTGCAAGTCGAATTCCATGCCGACCATGAAGAGATAGTAGAGCAGGCCGATCAACCCCATGGTCTCGAGCAGGCGGTGACTCGCCGCCGGATACACTACTTCACCCAACGAAACCGGTATGCCCGCCTCGTGTATCACGATCTTCCCTAGTACCGATGGCCCGAGGACGATGCCAGTCTGCCAACGATGCCAGAAAAAAGGAAGTCAAAAGCTAAGCTACAAAAGGACTAGGTCGTGATACAGCATTCCTCCATCACATGGCGGCATTGCATGGGTAGAAGAAGAGAATCCGAGATCATAGAGGGAAGAGGCTACCAGAATCTCGGCGACGACTCTGGGTTGGCGGAGGGGTTTGAGGAGGAAGGCCAAGCCGCGGGAGACTATCACCGCCAGGACCATCTGCCAGAGCAGGACAGGAATGGCGAACTTGTGCAAGGGCCTCTCATTCCAGACACCGCCGCTGGATATACTGTCCAACTTGTAGCAGTAGAGGATGGGCTCCGTCGTATTGCCCTGATCGGCCATCTTCTCAAAGAAAGAGAAGACAAGAAGCTCTCTTCGTCCTCCCAACGAATCGATGCTTGGGATTGGAAGAGAGGCCCAGGGCTTCTTAAAGGGAAGCTGGAAAGACGATCAAGTTTCTGTTGTTTGAGCATCTGTCCTCGAAATGGCGGTTAGGTCAAGATGTTTGTCGCCGTTTGGTCGGGCTGGTGTTCTGTCTTCCGCCATTTCCTGCGACTTGCGAAGCTGCCGCGCTCTAAATGGGGGGCGTTACAGTTGTCAACTTCAGACCGCAGGCAACGGAAAAACGTATCCAATATTACCATTCAACCCAGCCAACCCACTAAATTTGGTTCCCCTTTTGCATGCAGCTGTGACCACCAGGTCAACGCCGGTCCGGCCGGCGCGCCGCTCGTGCACTCTCGTTGCCCGCATGGCGTCTCCACGTGCTTCCACCGGCGGTGGGTCCTGCCGCCAGCTTGACGAAGCTTCACCATCATTCTCTCACATAAATCTATAATTTTTTATATTTTTTATTCTCTTTCGAAATCCTAAATTTTTTTTTGGATACTAAAAAAACCTATAAAAGCATCAAAAGTATTTCTTTTATATTATTTTCTCTTGTTAAAATTTATAGATATATTTGATATTCATAAAAAATAAATATTTATTATTATTATTATTTATGAGAACTGTATTAAAAAAAATATTTCACTAAAATATTAATTTCAGAAATTTGAAAATACTTACTCAATCCCAACATTAACTTACGCTTCTGTCATTCCTCCTGCCACCCAAATTCTATACACACATAAGTAGGTGAATAAATATCAATATATATAATATAGTTTATTTCAAATAAATTAAATATCATATCAATTTTTAAATATTAAGAAAATCTAATTGAAGATATAAGCATTAAAATTACTCTACATCTTCTAAAGCATCTCTCTCTATAGTGTTTGAAGTTCCACTGCCTATCTATTATTCGAAAGTACACGTCTCAGATATCCAATATTCATGAGTGTAATAAGTGATATTTATCATTCAAAAAATTACTTGAAATTTGAAATAAAGTTTGCCTTTAGCCTCTCACACCATATTAATTCACATGTCACATGATATATATATATATATATATATATATATATATATATATATATATATATATATATATATA